AATGGCTTTGTCTCTTTTTTCAGAGTATGTCTATCAATCTGTTTGCTTTAGAAAATGGCAACATAGTGCATTATCTCAGATAAGTCATGAATGGTCTTCATGATGGTTGATTCAAGGATCGGAGACTTACTTGCAGACCTAATATCACACACAGAATGATATATTCGAATTCTAAGAAATATCGGTGGCTTTTCCTGATGAAGATACCTCCCATATCACTCTGACATTTTTCTATAAACATGGCCACATAGTCTTAACTCTACCATTAGGACTCACCACCTTGATTAATTTTTTTTCTTTTAAAAATAATGCAAATGTCCCTGGAAGACATTTAAAAAACAAGTAGTCTGTCTCTAATAATTTTCTGACATTAAGAATCTGGAATTGAACAAAGAAAGATCCTACTTTGGGATAACATCCAGGGAGGGCAGTATTGACAAGGTCTGAATAGGGAGTCCCATATCTGTTGGGGCTACAGAAAACCTAAATGAGCAGGAACCTGGAGAATGAGGCAGTTCCTGGAGATCAGATGTCTCCTGATTTTCCCAGGAAAGATTCCCTTATCTCTGTCCCTAACAACACATGTTCATTATTTCATTCAGCCAATATTTCATAAACATCTTAGCTCCCTCATATTTTATACACTTTAATAGAGTCACATGCATAGAAAGTGGACACATAATTTAAAGAAAAACTGTTTCTGATAATGTTAGAATTAAAAAAAAAGAAAAAGAAAGATCATTTTCTCTAATTCCATTTCACTTAACATCTTGATGCCAACCTGAAACATCAGAAGTGCTAGCATTACTCAAAGAGTTCAGGGATACTTCAGCTGAAACAGTGGCTGGACTAAGAGATGACATGGTCTCTGAGGAGCCATTTTCGCTTTCAGAGGTGCTTGCGGGTAAGAGTGCAGTGCTGCTAGCAGGTAAGGGGCCACTTGTAGGAGAAGCACTGGGATTTTCTGTTGCATTCAGTCCTGTTATATTTATGGGAGATGGAAGAAGGAAAAAAGTAAATATGTGAATATATCCTTAAATATATACTCACCTGAGTTTACTAACTCCCCAGTCCATTATGGTATATATAAGCATATATACATACCTGTGTATATGCACAACCATACAGATAGGATGTACAATATATATGTACATAATGATATGTTTGTAAATGCATATACCTACATGCATGCATCAAATGGAGATGCAAACAAAGGTATAGATATGATAAATAGCCTTAAATGTACTATGAGCTACAGAATAGTGATTAAAGATAAAAATGGGGAATGGAATTTGAAAGCAGCCTCTTCCATCTTCCCACTGGGTTGCTGAATTCTCAGCTCTCCAAAGCAATAGGGTACAGGAGAATGAAATACCACACATAAATGTGATTTAAAGAGATTATAAAAGATATCAATGAAGAAAAGAGAAAGATAAAGTCAGAAAGGACTATTAGGAGGGTTTGGGCTCCAGAAAAAAAAGAAAGACAAACTTCTAGATACACAATGCTTTTCTTTTGAATAAATCATATCCAAACAAAGTAAAGACAAAGCAAAAGATTAAAAGACAAAATTCTTAAAGGGATATACAAAATGACCCTTCTACAAAAATGTTTTTAATTTCATAATATCAAAAAGCCACAACTGAGATACTGAAATAACATTTCCTATAGTTTCAGTTCACTTCAGAAAAAAGAAAAATATGACAAGATGTTTATGAAATAGGTCCTTGCATAGCTGATACAAGCATACGATGGCTATAAACTTCCTGTAGGGCAAACAAATATCTTGTATAAAAGACTTTTAATTTTGTTTATACTCTTACTCAGAAGGTGTATCTCTTCATAAAAGAATGAGGAAATACACCAAAATTGTATTTGAAAAAATAAAAATCAAATTGTGATTTCTGTATGTTGGGATTATAGAGGCTTCTTCTTTCTTAACTTCTGTTTTACATGTATTTATTTCTATGAATTGTAAAATTTATGCCTTTCAATATTTAATTAATTAAACTTGATTTATATTATGAAATTAGTTTAATTAATTTAACATGATTGGATAAGAGAAAAAGGCACAAATATAGGGAGAGAATTGGAGAAACAAGAAAAGAAGTAGAATTGACATGATAGAATCAAGAACTGAAATGGAGAGATAACTAAATAGGGAATTAAGAAAATGGAAATAGAAGTGATACAGTGGAGTTCTAGCTTCTTTCTTTTAGTGCTGAAGTTAAAGTGAAATCAACTTTTACTTTTATTGATTTTGGAAAAGCATCTGTATTTTTAAATATGGAAAAACATGAGGGGGAGCAACACACATCTAGTTTAGTGGCTTATTATTTATACACACTTTCTCACTTGGACAAAACTTACATGAAAAGAAGCAAGATTACTAGGAGGCAGAGATGCCAGGCACCTCCCCATCCTCTCATCAGTCTTCTGCAAAGTGGCATCCTTAGTACTTTCCAGCTGAGGAGCACTTGTCACAACATGGTAGAAAATTCTTAGAGTTAACAAAATGATGTACTAGGTACAGGATTGTGCCCATGAAAAATTGGAAAACTATTCTGGGATTGCAGAAATCCAAAATGATAGTAGAGTTATTGTACATGTTATTTTCCAAAGAAAATTTTATGGGTTTCATAGCCTGATCACTTACAAATAAATGCTTACAAACTTTCACCCATAATTACATCCAACTGAGCAGCCAGCACATGGCTACATCCTGTCCTCACTGTACATCATAAATCCAGTGTTAGTTGTTCTCTAATCAGCTATATGTTGAAGAAAAAGAAAATAGGAGTGAGTGGGGAAAGACAGGACAAAGAAAGGGTAAGTGTCCAGTAACATTAAATCACTATCATTGTTACAGACTTGGGTAATTATGGTTTGTTGGTTTTAGATTAAATTAACTTGTGTGTTGACGGGATTCCAACAAATCTTTTTCCTTTGAGAGAAATATTGCAGCTGCTCCCTTCGATTTGAATGACAGATACTTGAAGCAAAACCAGTTCAAACACCTTATACTCTTTTGAAGAGAATCATTCAAGACTGCTTCTATTCAAGCAAATCAGTCCAGGGTGGATTAAGAAAGGGTGTTCAGAGAACTACCCTCATGCCTAGACGCATTAGTGTCCTTGCATACTTCAATAGATACTCCCTAGTTTCATAAATAAGAATTTAATTTAAATTAATTAAAAATTCAATTGCCAACTTACATTGTCTCTGCACCCCAACTTGGGCAATATTACTAGTTTCCACTAAGTATATTCTTCTTGGCAGTATTTGGAGAGACCATTCTCATTTAAGTTTTAGGTCATGATTTTAATCTGTTTTCATCATTTGGGGACTTGTTATAATAGAGTTGGTGCATAGGTAATAAGGTGCTGAGTCATCTACAATTTTAAACATTCACTCCCATTCCACCCCATTCCCATTCCCTCCTGCAGAGATTACCAGTTTATACAGTTAAAGTGAACTTACTCTTCTGTAAATGGTAGAACTGCTAAGTTGCATGTAAGTGGCATAAGCAAATCACAACCTGTTTTAATGAGTGGCTTACATATTTTTATAAAATCTCTCTGCCATGTTAGAAAATTACAACATTCTAACATTTTAGATCTTTTAAGAAAGAAGAGGATATTCTTCTATGCAACTTCAGGAGCATTTTGTTACTGTTTTCAGAGTTCTTTGATTCTTCAGTTTGGAATGAATTATTGTTTAATAACAAAAATAATTCTGTTAATAACCGAATTCTCAGAACATTTCTAACCAAATTCTCAGAACACTTCTAAGTACTTCATTAAATGTGCATTATAATTATTAAATCAGAATTCTCATAGTGGTTTTACTTACCTTCTTAATGCAAACTGTAAACCAAATGGATAATCAGGAAATATATATTTCAACAACAATAACACTTAAGTGATACAGTTTATTTATTTTTTATTTTTTTTTTTTAAAAGATTTATGTATTTATTTATACAAGCACTGGGTACAGTCAGAAGCATGAGAGGGTGAGAGAATTCACCAGAGCCAGAGCGGGGAATGGAACAGGCAGACTGACGAAATACACTGCTGAGGGGAGCAGCGGGCAGCAGGAGAGGTCTGCGCGCCATGTGGGACCCTTGCCTGGTGGCCGGGGATCAAACCAGCGCTGCAGAGGCTGCGGGCAGCTTTGCAACCCAGCGCTCAACTGCTGTGCCACCGGGGAGGCCTGATACAGTTTATTTTTAACAAGGTTCAATCTCTAAGTTGGCTTGTAATATGTATGAATTTATTTTCAGCACTTTCATTGGTTAAATTTAATTTATTTCTGGTAGGGCACTTGTTAAGCTTTTAATTTAGCCATGACAGTAAAATTTAGAAATGGTTATTACAAAAATCCTAATAGTCTAAGAGCTTTTCTCTTGAAGGATTTAATTAATTATATTTATGTTTAGAATTCTCTCTAATGTTTTCAGATAATTCCTTGACACATTTTTGACCTATAAGGTTTTGTCCTCTAACTTAAATTCATTTATTAGCAACATTAAGATTTAAAAAGAAGGGCCTCCCTGGGGGTGCAAGGGGTTAAGACACAACCAGTGAAGCTATTCACAGCCACTGCAGCACAAGTTCCATCCCCAACCAGGGAGCTACCCACATGGTGCAGCACACTTCTCCTTACTCTCCCGCTGCTCCCCTCAGCAGTGTATTTCAGTCAGTCTACCTGTTCTGTTCCCCACTCTGTCTCTGGCGAATCCTCTTGCCCCCACATCTCTGGCCTGTACCCCAGTTCTTGTATGCATAAATAAATAAATCTTTAAAAAAAAGATTTAAAAAGAAATTGGAGCCCTGCCATGTGATTTATGGTCAAGTTTAAGAAAAGCTGCAATTTATGCACACTAATACATATAAAAATAATTATATGTGCAGTTTCATACTTTTATATAAGTTTTATATAAAACTTTTATTAGTTTTGCGAAAAAATAAAACAAGAAAATGCAAGTGTTAATTCTTACCACTAGTGGAAGGTGTGGATTGTCCTGCAAAGAAAAACAAACATCTTTTAGAAAATTTCAAATTTCATACATATGTATATAAATATGTTAAATTTATGTATACATAACCATCTATATGACATATATACATTTATATATCATCTCTATATTATTCAGTAATAACAAAGTGGTAACTTTTATGACCCTTCACCCAAATGAAAATATAATTCTTTTCCTAATGTTATAGTTACACAGTCCAAGGGTATCAAAGCTATGCTATTACTTTTTGAATTCCAGGTAAAATAAGAAAATAAAGGAAATCTATTGAAATTAATTTCAGCCTTCAAAATACTTTTGCAAAGTTTTCTCAAATGTATTCATTTATTTAGGTAATGATTATACATTACCTACTATGTGCTAGATAATACACATTATAGAAATACAATAAGATAATGATATAGAAATTCCTGTCCCTAATCATCTCAGTTCAGTGTGACATTAGTGCCAAAAAGAAAAAAAAGTCCCCCCAGTGTTAGGGCAGAAGTGCTTTGGAAGCAGATAGGAGCATGGTCTAATTTAGAATTCCAGGTTTGATACTAATTAGTGGAGGAGGTGTGAGAGAAGGTTTCTTGGATACATATTACCTGTTACCTAAAACATTATAGAAAGCTAGCTTAGTCCTAGAGGAATAAAAAGTTAGGGCTTAGAGGCTTCAGATAGCCATTGCTAGGAAGTGAGCTGTTTTTTTTTTTTTAATTGAGGAAATGGTTTATAGCACTGTATAGTATTCACAGCTGTAGGTTCACAGTTATTCAGAAGTATGGTAGCACACAGCACTCATCACCAAGACACCCACAGTCTTCCCCCAGAGGCTCCTCCTCATTTTGTTCTCCACCTTACCCTCCCTTTCTGGCATCCTCAATTTTATAGTCAATTTCTAAGGTTTATTTTTGGCTTAATTTTGTCTGCTCCTTTACTTTGTTTGTCTATATTCCAAACGTGAATGAAATTATCCAGTTTTTGTCTTTGTCATTTCGGTTTATTTTGCTTAGCATAATCTCTTCCAGTTCTATCATGTTGTTGTGAATGGCAAGAGTTCATCTCTTTTTATAGCTGTGTATTATTACATTGTATATATACCACATCTTTGTAATCCATTTATCTATCTATGGGCACTTAAGTGGATTACATAACTTCGCTATTGTAAACAGTGCTGTAAGGGAACATAGGGGTGCATGGATCCCTTCAAACTAGTGTTTGCACTCATTAGGTAAATGCCTGGGAGTGGAATTGCTGGATCATATGGGAGATGTCCCAGTATTGTTTTGAGAAACCTCCATGTTATATCATAGGGACTGGGTCAGTCTATATCCCCACTAAGTGCATGAAGATTCTTTTTTCTTTACAACCTTAACAATATCTTTTTTCCTGATCTTTTTAATACGGTGTCATGTCTCACTGGTGTCAACCGGTATCTCATGTTTTTGATTTATATCCCTGATGTTAAGTGATAATGAGCATTTTGTATGTGCCTATTGGCCATTTATATGTCTTCTTTTTGGAGAAGTGTCTGTTTAGCTCTTCTGCCATTATTTTTTATTTTTATTTTTTTTTTTTGTTTTTGAGTTGAATTAGTGTTTTGTAAATCTTGTATATTAGCCCCTTGTCAGATGTATGACATACAGATATTTTCTCCCACTTAGTTGGATGCCTTCTCATTTTAATGGTAGTTTCATTTGCTACACACAAACTTTTTAGTTTGATATAGTCCTAACTTCTTTATTTTTCGCTTTTTATTTTCCTTGCTGATGGAGTTGAGTCATTAAAGACATCCATGAAGCCAGTATCATGGAGTGCATGGCCTAAAATTTTCTTTTTTTTATGGTTCCAGGTTTTACATTCAAGTTTTTAATCCATTTTGAGTTAATTTTTGTATATAATGTGAGAGAGTGGTCCTGTTTAATTATTTTGCATGTCACTGTCCAGTTTCCCAGTACCATTTACTGATAAAATGTTCCTTTCTCCAATGTCTACTCTTGCCTCCATTGTCACAGATTAGCTGTCCATAATTGTGGGCTTATTTCTGGGCTCTCATTTCTATTCCACTGATCTGCATGTCTCTTTTTGTTCCAACAGCATTTTTTTTAAGATTATTTATGAATACAAGAGCTGGAGTACAGGCCAGATATGTGGGGGTGGGGAGAGGATTCACCAGACACAGAGTGGGGAACACAACAGGCAGATCTACTGAAATACACTGTTGAGGGGAGCAGCAGGCGAGACAGGAGAGGTCTGCTGTGCCATGTGGGTTGCTCCCTGGCCAGCCAGGGACCGAACTCATGCTGTAGTAGCTGCAGTCAGCTTCATAGGTTGCGTCTTAACCCCCTGCGCCAACAGGGAGGCCCAATAGCATATTTTTTTAATTACTATAGGTTTGCAGTATAGTTTGTCTCTGTGACTATGATACCGCCATTCTTCCTCTTTTGTGCGTGAGTGTGTGTGTGTAGAGGTGCTTTCTCTATTCAGGATCTTTTATAGTTCCATATAAATTTCAATAATGTATGTTCTGTTTCTTTGACGAATATCATTGATATTTTGATAAGAATTGCCTTGAATCTGTGTATTTTCCTATGTAAGATGGCCATTTTAACATAGAGGGAACTGTTTACAGAGAGGTTTAATGAAGAAGCATTTCAATTTTAAATCAGTATGTTGGAAACGGAAGATTGTCAAAATGCAAAATTGGGCACAGGAAAACCAGGAGACTGAAATAAAAGCATATTAGAAATATGTCTTAATTAGGAAAATGGTAGCAAAAAAAAAGTGAGGGTGAAAAATCCATTCACCACTTAAGAAGTAGTCAAGGCTATACATGTTTGGAAATGAGGAAGGTGGACAATGAACAATAAGAAAAAATATCTAGGTTGATAGTTTAAACTATTATGCATTGCATTAGATAAAATGCAGAAGCTTTTATGCAGAACTAAAGAAGAAAGAAAAGAAGGTGGGGGAGGATATTTTTATATGCTCAAGACTTCCAGGTAAAAAATGTATAGAAGTATTTGGCACAGAAATTGGTAGCTCAGGATATACATCTGGGTCAATGCTATACATCAGCATGTAGGTGGATATTGTTACAAGGGAGGAGTAAGATCCTCAAACATAAAACAGGGACATCTGTCCAGGATACAATCTTTTTTTTTTTTTAATTTATAGAGGCATGGTTTATTTATTTATTTATTTGTTTGTTTGTTTGTTTGTTTGTTTGTTTATACATGCACTGGGTACAGTCAGAAGCGCCAGTGGGTGAGAGGATTCACCAGAGCCAGAGCGGGAAGCAAAACAGGCATAAGGACCGAAGTACACTGCTGAGGGGTGCAGCAGGCGGCAGGAGAGGTCTGCGTGCCATGTGGGACCCTCCTCCGGTGGCCGGGGAGCAGCTGGGGATAGAACCTGCGCCGTAGAGGCCTCGGGCAGCTTCGCAACCCAGCGCTCAACCGCTGCGCCACCGGGGAGGCCCCAGGATACAATCTTAAAGTTAAATTAATATTTAAGGGGAGAGCCAGAAAAGGTGACTTAATTTTCTGTATAGGGGAGAAGCCAAAGTTCAGCAAGAGTTAAGAGTGGAAGGTGTTTCAAGAAAGAAATGGTTGATGTCAAATAAATGAGGACTAATATGGGACAACTGGATTTTTTATTTGGGTTTGTGAGAATGTTGGAAAAGCAAGCTTTATGGGCATGATAGGAGCTAATCTTAGTTTACATTGGAGTAAAACATGTTTCCATCTCTCACTTTAATAAATGATTATGACAAAGACCACAGAACTTTTCTCAAATGATAGTCAATGGATGCTATAAAGGAAAATCAAATATTAAATGAAAGAATGTACTGGCTAGTATTTGAGCTACCTTCCTGCCTTGAGATTTTATGTTCTGAGCACAAACTGAACTGAAAAGCATTTATCCCAACAGAGGTGCCACCAAGGGGGTATGATTCAGTATTCTGCAATGACATTCTATGGTTTATTCCTTGAAATAAAATCCATTTTTGTATTACATATATATTACACATACAAATGTATGTAGTTATTAAAGTAGTAACATTAAAATATATTTATAGTTCTCTATTTTTTCTTAATAATTTATTCTTAAGTATTATTTTTTTTTTTAAGATTTTATTTATTTATATAAGCACTGGGGTACAGGCCAGAGGTGCGGGAGGGTGAGAGAATGCACCAGAGACAGAGCAGGGAGCAGAACAGGCAGAAGGACCAAAAACACTGCTGAGGAGAGCAGCAGGAGAGACAGGGAGGTCTGCCGTGCCATGTGGGTATCTCCCTGGCCTACTGAGAATTGAAATGGAGCTTCAGAGGCTGTGAACAGCCTCACAGCACTGCGCTCAATCCACTGAGCCATTGCAGAGGCCCTTAAGTATTATTTTAAATTTGCATTATTTGCACTTTTATTCTCTTCTTTTTTTAGTCAGCTTTTACCTGATTATCATAAAATATTAAATGTCTTAATAAAATTTCCCATTAATAGTTTCCTCTCATTTATTCTTATTTCCTAATAAGTTTTTAGGGTTCGTAAAATGCTCACCTACAAAACAAGTATTAAAAATATATTGATGTGGGCCTCCCCTGGTGGCGCAGGTGGTTGAGCACCATGCTGTGAAACTGTCTGCAACCTCTGCAGTGCTGGTTCAATCCTGGCCAGCTGGCGAGGGTCCCACATGGTGCGGCAGACCTCTCCTATTGTGCCCGCTACTCCCCTCGGCAGTGTATTTCGTCAGTCTGCTTGTTCTGTTCCCAGCTATGTCTCTGGTGAATCCTGCCACCCTCCTGCGCATCTGGCCTGTACCCTAGTTCTTGTGTAAATGAATAAATAAATCTTTTTAAAAAATAATAAATCGATAAAAATAAATAAAAATATATTGATGTAGCAATAAGAGATTCCTTGTGTTTTTAATGAAAGGACAAATAATCTTTATTGTAATTTTTTATAAATAATTCAGCATATAGCCACATTGAAAATATTCAAGTTGG